GCTCTGTTATAATAAGTATCTATAATCTTCAAGAAAAGCTATCTCATTCCGTAAGAATGAGTAATGGGAGTTACAATAGCACTAAATGGCCTTAAGATTCCGAGTGCCTTCTTCGGGGAACAACAGAAATCTTCACGCACTCTCTCCCTGGCCTCCACTAATTGCATTATCAGGCTGACTCAATTAGGTACTGTGTACACTATATATACTATATATATAGGCAAGATATGAGCTTATCTTTGGCTATGCTGCTTTAATGAGATTTCGCTCCGAGGAGGAGAATAGAAGGCCCAGAGCAGAATAGAAACTTTATTAGATTAGAATGCGGTAAGAGGCCTGAGGAGCACTGAGAACGATATGAGAAAGTAAATATTGAATAATAAATACATCATTATTATCATAAATTATCAGCTGAGGTCGACTTTAAGTTCAATATCACCTATCGTTGTGCAAATATCCGCTTGGGAAACTTTCCTTTTGGCCATAAAAACACAACTAATGGCCGTAACTCACTGGGCCAACACCTAGCCATCGCGAAGAGGACTCCCCGCGGACTCCAAACGAGTCTTCACTGTAAGGAGCCCTCATTACAAGGTGCGCGACCTATCCCAACAGTGGCTGTCAAGTGTTTTCCTCAGCGGGAAAGCCATAGCTATTAATTTAATGGCACTATCTGGAAAAGTCCTGCTCGGGATGAATCATCCGATAGGGAGGGGAGGTCCTTTGGCAGGATGGGCAGGACAAAAGCAATGAAAGAAAGGCAATTTGTTAGGCAAATGATTTTGAAATCAATGCACACACAAAGAGACACAGACTCCTTACACACACACTTACAAACAAAAAACAGCAACGAATGCAATGGGAAAGAAAAGAGGAAAAAGGTAGACGACCTCGCCACAGGATGCTAGAAAAAATAAAAATATCTGAAGGACCAAAAAAGCCCCTATTTTAAACAGAAATATTTCTTAAATGCAAGCTTATATAATATTTATAGGCAATTTATATTTAACTGTAAAAACGGCAACTTTTATCCCGTTAAGAATTTTAAAAACAATGCAAGACAATGAATTGAGAGAGAGAGCAGGTACACCAAGAGAGCGGTTTTTGCCGCAAAAAGAGAGCATTGGAGAGAGCAAAGCAAGAGAGAGAGAGAGCGGCGCCCAAAGGCAGGCAACAATTCCGTTGCCGTCAACGCTGCGTATGCGTAATGTGAGCGAACAGGCAACCGAAAGTGGAATGGCGGAAAATTAAAGTTTGCTGCACGTTGCCCCGCGTCCTGTCTGCTGGTACCCCCCACCCCCTCCCTCCTGGCCTATCCTTCTAGTACAATTTCCCCAACGCCTCTGGCCCCCCTTTTGACAGCGCCAACGACTTCCTGACGTGCATGCGAGCGCAATTTATGGCGTGGAACTGCGTACGTGAGGGGGGGGAGGGTGTTGGTGGTAGGGCAGGTGATGGGGGAGCACCCTGTATATAGGGACATGAGAGCCCGGTAGCTTTATATGCTTGTATTTGAAAACATTAATATTCATTACTGTAAATGGGTGCTTTGAGGGGGGTTTTTGTTTAAAAACCGAAATAAGTACCACTAGTGATAGTTCTACTAGGCGTATACTTGATATTTATAGAGTATATCTGAGGAGGTACTTCTGAAGAGAAATACCCCTATCCTTGCGTTAATAACTAACTTTGAAGCGAAGTACAACACGGCGTATACTTGATTTGAATAAAAATCGAAAGAATTAAAAATATATATTAAAATATTAACATTTTCCACCTTTTAATAATTTATTTTTTTAATTAAAAACAAAAGAGCACCCTTTATACCGGCATACATAAATTAAAATGTGTGTCTGAGGGCCTTTGGGGGGAAGTGGGGCGCTGGTGGGAAGTTCAACCGTGTTTAATTTGCCTTCTTACACTTTTCCACCCGCCTTTCCCCGCCCCCCGACGCACCCCTAATGCTCCTGCATGTTGCATTTACACAAAAATTTACTTTCTGTGTTTTTCGTTTCGTATTTTTGTTGCTTTTTTTGGAAACGAAAACATTTCTGTTTGGCCTTTGTGGGCTTTGCGAGTCGACGGAACGAAGAGGCAAACTTGCAACAACAGAGAGTGCCTTCCTCTTTATTATTATTAAGTTTTTCCTTTTTTCAGTGGGTGGGTGGCTGTTTGTTTTATGGTCTGTGGGTGGTGCTCTCTCTCTCTCCCGTTACTCGGCTCTCTTCTCTCTAGATTCCTGCTCTTGTTGTTTTTGTTGTTTTTGGACTGGCTGGTCAATCTAAATTGCATTTATTTAAATTTCGTTGACAAGGCTTTGCGGTTGACCAGAAAAGTGAAAAAAAAGCGAAATGACTTTGCAACCGCAAGCGGTGTTGGGGCGAAAAAATAACGGCAGCTGATTTGGGGAGCCAACTAGACTACATTCCATGCGAAACTAAACACTTTTGAGATAAAAGACAGTCTCAGCAGTTCTGCGAGGAACACACTTCCCAGCCGGGTTGCTCATATAGGGGGGCTTATCACTGAAACAGTATTCGTTCCCCTGAAGTCACACAATCGTCAATGCACTTTCCCAGCAATGGAATTCCAATCCCATTCAGTTTCGCCACCAAAACATTCCAATTCACAAATGATTGATGATTGAAACAGAACCAGATTACTTCCTCATCGGTATGGGGCAGTGGCATTGTTTACCCCGTCTGGGGGGGCGGCATTAGCTTTCCGGAGAACCGGCGTTTCCCATGTGACTGCCAGCCAGCGAAGGGCAAACACAAAGCACAAAGCATTTAGCACGATTGGCCAATACAAATATTTAGCTGCAATTACTTTTCTAGGCGGCTATAACCACTATTATAATATATGGTAGCTCGTTATGAGTAAAACGAGCTAAATTACGTATTATTTATAAAGCACTCCGAGTCACAGTCACAGTCACACACACACACACACAGACGCGCACAGAATGTCCTTTTGGAATCTAGCGATTTTCCTCAATTATTTTTCTTGATTTTCCACAAACGCGTCGCCCTCAGCGCGTGATAATGTTAACGGACCGGACAGCTCTCACGTTCCATCCGTATCCGTACCCGTATTCGCGACGACAAGCCAGCCAACTTTTCTTGGGGAACGAACTTGGGGCACTTGGGGAAACGAATGGACTCACGAATGACACTAACTGCCAGTGATGCCAACTTGTAATCTATCTTTCAAAAAAAATTATACAAATAAATAGATATATTTTGTATAATTAACATTCTTTTAATATGAAATAAACTATTTTTTTATTATTATTTTTTAACAATTTAGTTAAAATATTGGCATCACTGATTCGTATTTGCGTTTCCGAGTGGGAGAGGTGGAGCGCCGCTCTCTCTCTTACGCTCTCAGAGAACAAATAACTGAATAGCAATCTTACAGATACGAGTTCCTATAAAAATGCTGCTTTTTGAATAAAGAGCGCGCGAATGGGCAGCACTTTTGGTGGGGCTTGCTGGGCATTACTTTTGGGGGATATAGCTCCTCAGATAATAAGAGTAGAAATATCTAGATTCTAGAATATAATATAAAACATCTAGAATATCTAGATTCTTCGAAAATTCTAAAAGAAAAAGCTGCCCTAGTGACACCTTGAACCTACAGGGGAACACCCTATTTTCAAGGGGTCAGGAAAAATGGACAAAAAATCTAAAAAATATTTTGTCTCAGGATTTTGATGCAGAATGGTGGAGAATCGATCTAGAAATCGTTTAACGTACTCCGCTTGAGAATCGGATGAGAATTGGGAAAGATATAGCTATCCCTGTGGAGCCTATAGGGGAAAACGCCATTTTCAAGGGGTCCCATCAGGAAAAATGGACAAAAAATCTAAAAAATATTTTGTCTCAGGATTTTGATGCAGAATGGCGGAGAATCGATCCAGAAATCGTTTAAGGTACTCCGCTTGAGTATCGGATCAGGATTGGGGAAGATATAGCTATCCCTGTGGAGGCTATAGGGAAAAACGCCATTTTCAAGGGGTCCCATCAGGAAAAATGGACAAAAAATTGAAAAAATATTTTGTCTCAGGATTTTGATGTAGAATGGTGGAGAATCGATCTAGAAATCGTTTAAGGTACTCCGCTTGAGAATCGGATCAGGATTGGGGAAGATATAGCTATCCCTGTGGAGGCTATAGGGAAAAACGCCATTTTCAAGGGGTCCCATCAGGAAAAATGGACAAAAAATCTAAAAAATATTTTGTCTCAGGATTTTGATGCAGAATGGTGGAGAATCGATCCAGAAATCGTTTAAGGTTCTCCGCTAGAGAGTCGGATCAGGATTGGGGAAGATATAATTATCGCACGATATAATTAAATGATCATTATAGATAACCCGAAAAATATGACTAGAAAGCATTATTGTGGAAGAGTTTTAATTTTAAATATTATTTTATTAAGTCAACATTCCTATTAGGTTTCATATCTGGACATTCCACTGTACTTGGTTGAAGCTTCTCGTTTAGTTACTTTGTGATAAAAAGTGATAAACTTTTAAGCAAACTGCCTCGAGTGCTGGGAATGATTCGAAAAAAAACGAAAAGTGTGTGAATGGGCCTTACTGAGTGTTAACTGAGCTTAAATGGGCTTCAAGTGGGTCTAATTTATGGTTCCTAGATGACACAAACAGAAGAGCAAGTATTTTCCTCTTAAAGATGATGGGTGCTTTAAAGGGTTAAGAGCTGGGCTGGGGAGCATAAAAGGGTCTATATAGAGGAGGGTAGTTTTAACATAATAATAATGAATGTATGTAATAATAATAATAATTATAATAATTAATGTATATGAATTAAATATCAAATATTACTATAAACCATCACTGCTTGCATTTGAACTGCTTGCCTGCTTTGTAAAAATATTCATAGCCTACTTTTAGGCTTTCCCATAGAAACTACATATTTCTTAAAAATTCCTAATTCCTCCTTAAAGGTCCTTAAAGGACAACTCCTCATTCCAACTCACCGTTATTGTTGCTGATGGCAAATCGCTGCTGCAGCTGCTGGGCCAGGGCCTGATGGTGCTGGGCCAGGGGGGTGAGCGGGGGCTGGCCCACGCCCAGCTGCTGGGGCGCCGACTGCGAGTGGGGCACACCACCGCTCAGCGAGGACGTGTCCGAGGCGCCGTCGCCACCGCCCCCGCCGCCCACCAGGCACTGGCCATTGGCCATGGAATTCTGCTGGTTCTGGCCATTGAACTGCTGCACGGAGATCGAGTTGGGCAGTCCCTGCTGCTGCTGCTGCTGGCCCTGGCCCTGGTTCTGGTTCTGGGCGGTGCTGGCGGAGATGAGCGGATTGCCGGCCGAGCCGTAGGTGGTGGCGTTTATGGAATTGTTGGCTTGGCTAATGGAATTATTGTGGACGGCTGAGCTTAGAATGGAGCCATTGGCGGTGGCACCACTATTGCTGCTGTTGTAATACGACTCCTCGCCTGGAAAGGGGGTTTAAAAATATATATATTTATTAAAAAAATATATAATATATTCTGAGTCTTCTCTAATAACATTTTCATTCATAAAAGCTTTATCCTAAGCTTTTACAGCCCTTTCTAACAGACAAAGCTATCTTCCCTCGAAAGTAACTTTTCTTAGAGGCGCCATCTGGCGGTGAGTGGCTGAACTAGCCCTTGAGGTAGGTTCGGGATTCCTACACTTTCCTGCCTCTTTCCCCAGTGATTCCCCCCATCTCATTTGAATGCATTTCACGTTCTGATTGTGGACAGCCCCTGTCCCCCCCTCGGCTGCCCCTAGGGGGAGCCTCAATTAGCTCTTTCTGATTAATTGGCGTTTAGCGAGAAAGTCGCGACTCGGCGACGACAGCCACTCGTAGACTCGGTTGACAAGGCGCCTCCTTCATGAATCCTAGGCAGCTACACTGCGAGAAGAACCATACTCAGTATACTAAGCCAAAAGACAGGTTCTTTTTATTTTCTCCCCGTGTTCTTAGCCATTTCTGGCCATTGACGAGCCGTCAGAGCTCAGCAGGCAGCTGAGGCGGAAGGAAGACGCCTCTTCTTCGGCCAACAAACAATCTACTAGAGTGCCAACCACACCAGAGGAGGGGGAGAGGTGGGTGGGCCATGTCGTGCGTGGATTATGGCCAATTTCCGTTATGCCAAGTTGCCAACCAAAACGAAACTTTGCCGGCACATGAGGAAAATAATAAAGCTACTTGTGGGCCTGCCTGTCCATCTGGTCCTATCTGGACAGACCACCACCACCACATCTCTTACCTGGTTCTGGAATATTGCCCAAGGGGCTCTCTGGCAGTAGAATTCCCTTCTGCACTAACTCGTCTCGATTGGCACGCACAGATATCTTTCTCTCCAAAGCTACAAAAAAATATTAATTATTTTAATAAAAAATAGAAAAAATTAAGAAAATAAAACTCACATTTGGAGGCCGCTTCGAACTTCTCACTCTTCTTTTTCCGGCGCCACTTCCAGGGCTTGAAGAATCTCCCCAAGGCGCTGAGCTTGCTCTTGCGCTCCAGGGGCGGGGTCCGGGTGCCGGAGCCCAGGCTGTTTGTGCGTATTGCAGCTCCATTCTGTTTCTTGGCTGGAAAGGCAAAAAAAAAAAGAAGGCCAATTAGACAAGATTTCCATCGAAAACGCTGCGGAAGCGGAAGTGGGAGGCTCCATTCCACACCCACTTTTACAGCTATTGTGGGGCATGCCCCACTCATCATCGAATTCTTGGCTTTAATTTTAGTTTTTTTCTTAATTTTCTTTAAAAAATCTCTAAAAAAAATTAAAGAAAAGTATCTTAAAGATACTTCCAGGAACATATCTCAATCGAAAACCTTTTAAAAAGTCAAAGCCAATAGAGCTCCCTCCCCAAACAAATATTGAAATTCCTTTCCTGAGTTGGGAAATCTCTAGAGGGGGGGGGGAGGAGTAAGGGGGGGAGTGGCAGCAAATCACAGGTTGCAGATAGAAGAGACTCCAAAGAAAAGTCAACAACATCTCCCCTATATTTTCACTATTTTTTCAGCTGATTCTGATGCCTCCCCCCAGATAAGCCCCCCAGCACACACACATGCTCAGATACAGATACAGATACAGATACAGATACTCCCTCGCAGAGATACTTTGAAGAGCTGGGCTGCATTGAAGCGTTGAAATTAGGCTACCCAGCAGATACAGATATAGATACGAGGTAAGAAAAACTGTAAAACTACTGCAAATGGGCCAACAACTATTTGGCTTCATGATCTTCTTACCATAACTGGGCTTCTCGCCGAGACTCTGCTCCAATTGTGGTCGATTGTTGGTCAACAGAGGCAGGCAGTTGGCAGGCAGTTACATAATAAAACGAATGGCTGCCCACAAGGGGAGGCAGTATCTTGGAGATACTTCTGGTTCTCCCTCTCCCAGGGATGTGTGTCAATTGAAGGGAAGTCCTCTCCTCCGGAACCAGGAACCATTTCGAATGGCGCCAATAAAGAAAATTGGAAAAATGGGCCAACTGGAACTGGAAGAGATGTTCCGACAAATGGGTGACAAGTGGGGGGGACAACATACTCTGTGCTGGAGGCCCAGAAAGATGAATAGCCGGGATCATGTCTCAGATACATCCACGATTATGGGCTTTAAGGGAATTACCTTAATGGTTTCGAAGAGGTCTTGTAAAGAGTCTTAAAAATGTAATTAAAATTAAGACTTATTAGTTTATATTATTTTTATTTAAGATATCTAAAAAATAGAACCCAAAACACCCCCCATTTACACATCATCAGAGGCAGTTATAGCCAATCTTGTGAGGCTTCTTGGGAGGCGTACTTTTATGGCCAAAAAGGGCGGCCAAAATATGCAAATCGAAAAAATACAAAAATAAACCTCAGATGCGCAGTTGGCGTCAGCGTCTCAGTCAGCGTCTCAGTCAGCGTTATTGTCGTCATATAATAATTTAATATTTTTTATACCCCCCCACCGCTCCCCCCCTCAATACCATCCAACACAACGTATGGAAAGAAAACCGGTTATTGGAGCTCCAGTGGCGTTTGAATGAATGCAGGCAGCTTCCATGAGATTTTGGCTTCTAAATCACTGACAACAACAACAACAACAATGACAACCGCTACAACAAAAGGTAGTGAAGGGCGCGGCAACAACAACAATAAGAAACAAACAACAACAACAAGATACAAACAACTTAACAACAACACGAAAAGGTAATGCTATGCGAACGCGTGGAAAACGGGTTTTCGCGAAAGTTGTTGTCATTGTTGGTGTGTTGTTGTTGTTGTTGCTGCTTTTGTTGCTATTCTCGGTTGAGCGGTGTTTTCAGTATGTTGTTGTTGTTACAGTGAAGCCTGGCTAGGGGGGATATATTTATTTAAAATTAAAATTAATAAAATAAACAATTGAATAATAGGTTTTTAGAACCATTTGTCGCCTTAGGAAGGTTTAAATATTTTAAATATTTTTTAAAAAACATTTTTAGTCGAGTTGCCCTTAGCCAATAAATTATTTCACTATCACAAATATCTTTAAATATCTTTATATTTTATAAATCCCACTTATCGAGCGACACCTGTACTTGGCTTTTGTGTTTTTCGGGCGCCCCCCAGATTCGCTTGTGGCCCAAAAGCGGAGACAGCTTGAGAGCCGAGAGAGAAACCAAGAAATATGGCTGCCCGGGCCTCTGGCTGGAAAAATGTTTTCCTCGCATTGTTGTGGGTTGTATGTTAGGTACCCCCTGAAGGGAGGGGCGGGGGGAAAAAGACACAGTGCTTCGACAAAAACAAGCCATAAACCTGCAGATGAATTTTTGAAAGAATCTAAAGGATTTGAAGAAATGTATCTATAACCCGATCTAGCTTATCTATCAGATACGGCCCGAACACCCCATCTAAACCCAGTCTTACGTAAAGAGCCAATTGGGGAGCCAATACCCGAAGCCCAGTCTCGTAAATAAACAAAAATCCAGCAACGTGATGTGCTCGACAATTTTTGTTAAAATAAATAAATAAATAAAGCCATCGAGCCAGCTGGTGGGGGGGGCGAGTATGAAGTACATATCTCCCAGCAATAGAGACCGTATCGCATGCTACAAAATGTGTTTCATAAATTATAGCATGGTGGGGAAGCGAGTGGCAGCCTTTGACACGACGTCTCGGAGCAGAAATCCCACAAAACAAGCCGAAAGTTAATTACAAACGAGGCTCGGAGTGAGAGACTCGATTTAAATGTCAGATGTCAGATCTCTTTCGGAAGAAAGTGAAAAGAAAGTGTGGCGAATTTTGATGGAAAATTCATTTATTAGAAGGCCTTGAGGTGGCCGAGGTAGTCAGTACCCTCCTTAAGCTCCCCCCCACTTAAGTCCCCACTGCACATGCACCGAATTTTAAAATCGCATTACGTATACGCAGCGTTGAACAGCCCAGGGGGGCGATTTGAGGGCGTGGCAGTTGTCTATTTTTGTGAATGAAGCCAAGCATGACGGGTAGTCACAACCAATGACAATCTCCAACGATAGTTGTTGACATTGAATCGGTATTGGATGGCGATCGGGTCTGGAGGGGAGTCCGATCTCCGCCAGAGACTACTCCCATTATTTGGCAGAGGGAGGGGGCATCTCTCTTTCCACAGAAGAGTCTCTACAAGTCACTCATACGCCTGGTGAGCCCGTCATGTGCAGCTGCAAGCCGCTAATTGCATTGACCTTTGACATCCACGAGCGGGGTTATAAATAGAAAATGAACAGCGACTTAATTGCCAGGGCGGGGGACTTTAAAAATCCATAAAAGGGCAGAGGAGTCCCCCCACTTTAAGGCTCCAAGGCCTTGGGGTTCAATGGCCTCTTCTTTTGGGCAAATATTTGCAGCAAACTTTGGAATGTAAACATCGCCCTGTGGAGGGGGACGGGTCTGTCGTTCAATTAACATGAAGATTTGGTGTAAACCCTCAAGATACAAGATTTGCACGAATGGGTGTCAGGGCTAGGTGTCTAATATTTCAGATATTTCAGAGCCCATCTTTGAAACAGTGCCAGTGGAAAGATAATGCCCCACGACAGCAGCTTTTGGCTGGAAACTTTTTGCCCAAACTGTCAGTCGGAGAAGGAGAATCCGACACCTGGACACTGTCTGGGCGGATGTCTGGCCAGGATGGAGATGACGACGATGACAGTTGGCGGAAATGAGCGACAAACTCTGACACATTTTGGCCCAGACTGTACTCGGAAAGAGACGGCACGAGGGGCCTAGAAAGAGTCGAAAACAGGCAGACTGAATATCTGAATCTCTTGACCTGCAATGCAGTTTCCTCTGTCTGGCTGGATGGATGAATGTCAGTTGCAGTTCTTTCTCATTAATTAAGCGCAGCAGCAGATACAAATCTGAATACTGGATACAGTGAGAGAAACAAGTATCTCTTTTGATAGAAAATAATTGGCAATCCATGGCTCCTGATGTTTGAAGGGTGCGGTCCATCACTCTGATCGATTATTGTTCGAGGGGGACTGGCTTTCTGGCCAAGTTAGTGCCAAGTTGGGGTCATTACAGACATCTGGCCATTAATCATCTTGGCGGGCCATCAATGGGTCATGGATTCGACTTCGAACTCGGTTTCTAGCTTCATTGTTGGCTAAATGGAGTCTCAGCTTGGGGCTGGCCTTTGAGGGCCAAGGTAGTGTATCCACCAGATATCCACCAAAGCCAGTGGTTAGGTGCTAGGGAATCCAATCTAGATTCCAAACCACAACGCTTATCAATCACGTTTCATGCAAACGGCCCTTATCTCTCTCTGCCAGAAGAATCTACCAAAAGAATGACTAACAGAACCCAGCACCTCTAAGAATATCAAAATATTTCCCCCTCCAGTTGATAATCATAATCGAGGGAGTAATCATCAGTAATCATCACTACCTGAGACCAATTAGCACCTCCGGCAATTCTCCCACAGAAGAACTGTAGACACGCAGCGGGGCTTACGTAAGACTCTTCATTGAATAATCCACGCCCACTTCCCCTCAGACAGACAGACCAAAAATAGAAGAGTTTAATCGGCATTTCTGCCTTTTATTGATTAATGCCCCGTTCGATGAGTGGCATATGGAGCCATGGCCAGTCCCCAGAAGCTCGTCAGTCGAAGCGTCATCGAAAAAAGGTGAAACAGCCCACAATGGAAACTAATTTTGGATAGGCTCTGTGAGGGGGGTTCTATACGCAGATTCCTCCTCCAAGCGGGGTTTCAGCTTTCGGGATGTATAAATAGCCTGTTGGAGGACACACCCTCTGGAGGACATCTCCCGCCCTGGAGGGCCACTTGACGAGTCAAGTTTCAAGTTCAACATTAACCCTTGTGGGGCGAGAGGGGTTTTCAAGGTTTTCATTCTAGAATTAGATAGGATTATAATATATATAACAAAGCATATAATATAAGCACTATAATCACCATTACTTTTGATTTAAAAAACTTGAAATATAAAAAAAAAATATATTTTTTCCTCCTTACCATTTCGAACCTCACACCATTTTGAGTCTTCCTCCTCTAAGCTCTTACAGGAGCTCTCCCGACTTTGTTATTATTATTCCTGCCACCGTTTCGGACTACTCTGCATGTGAGTAGCTGTCTGCCTGCCCCACTAGAGTGCCCCACCTGGCTACCGAATAATGGGCAGTAACTGTGGAACCGACGGCGAAATTGGCCCCCAAATGGGGAACAAGTGTAGCGACTTGAATGAAATTTTAGTTGGGGCGCTGAGCGGATTTGATGGCCTGATTATGGATGGAAGCCGACTTGTCGGAAAATCCAGGGGGCTGGGAAATGAAATGAACATCTGTCCGCTGTCCGAATCGAAATTGAAAAACGCTTTCAGGTGGCAGGTGGGGGGGCAGTCAGTTCGATTTATGCTTTATTGGAGGCAATTTATTATTTGCTTGTTTTCCAAGCCAATAATTGAGAATCGTCAAGTGATATCGCCAGTTTGGAGGCTTTCTTTTTTTGGAATTGATTTTACAATTTAAGGAAATCGATGGGGAATTCATCAAAGTCATGGGAAAGAACGCCAGAGTCATAGTCGGGGGCTTTTATTCGAGAAATTAGATGATGCCAGAGCTATAAGAGTGATTATTATGTAAACAGTTGACACTTCCCATCAGCTATAACGAAAGTAACGACCAGAAACAAGTTGGCTTAAACGAAGGCGGGAATTTCGAGCAAAATAATTGCAAAAATATTCAAGGAATGCGGCTAAGCTGAAAGCAGTCAAACAACAACAAGGAATGCGGTGCACTGAGAGAAATATATATATATATATATATCTTCAAAAAAAACTTCAGCCAAATCGGGCCAGTTTTGGAGGAGATATACCCTTTTAAGGCTGATTACTGGCTCTCGAGCACCCCAAATCTTCTTTTAAAGTCTAATCTACAATGAGAGAAGAGTACCAGGTATCTTATAGTCGATATATCTAGCCAGTAGCTATACTTATGACTTTAAAACCGAGTCAACCTTGTCAATATGGAATATCTAGCCCCTGATTGAAAGCAAAGTCTCTCCAGACTAGTCATGTGGCTTTAAAATAATCTCCCACTTCGAAGTCTACAAGGTGGGATTTTTTTCGCCGTGCACTGACTTCCAAACACCTGCTGGCTGGCTGGCTGGTGGGCATATCTCAGGTCTATTGGCATAAAGAGAGTGACTCACCACAGCAGCAGCTTTGACACACTGAGTTGGCCGGAGACACGTGCCCCCCATTGGAAGAGGCATTAAAAGGCCATTTCGATTCTCCGCTTGAACTTGAATTCTCCGGGAGAGGCAGCGCTGTCTTTTGGCTCTTAATTGAGTCTCCAAATGCCAACAAGTGACAGAATCTCGCTAAAAATAGACGAGACCTCACGCCCCGCGCCATTTCTCCGCCAATTGAGTTTAAGCCTCGATTTGATTGATGATGCCCCCGATTATGAGTCACTCAACCCAGCCCCCAGCCCCCAGCTCCGTGCCAGCAATTGCGGAGAATGATGCCAAGAGTGGGTTAGTGGGCCAGGTGGCGATTGGTGTCCGCGGGTATTTGTATTGACATGTCATGGTAATCGGATGTAGGGCACTATATAGAGCGGAGCTAATGAAATCGCCCATAAAGACCCGCCAGATACCTCCAACAAGTGCCTCCATTGATAATTAAATAAAAAAAAGATAATAATATTCCTTTAAATTCCTCGAAGACCCCTCACAGCTGCTGGCAACTTTAAAGTTGAACGACATTTCTTTGGGGCTGCACCCTTTGAACCGCACTCATCCCCCCTCCTCCCCTCCTGCCACACCTGATGTGTGTGGAGTCCCCCCCACACACAAGCTGCTCCCTCGTTCTGTCACCACATTGTTTCGCTTCGGGCCTCTCTTGCGTTGACAAACCCACTTCCCCCGGCCAGCCAGCCACCCGCCCACACGCACCACCCCCCCTGCCCCACCAGGCCCAGAGTCAAGTGCAGTGAACCATTTTGGGGCCCGGCGACGGCAAACAGAAGTGGAAAACGACAAAAAACGGCCGAAAAAAAATCACATTTCCGTTTTGCATTCAAGTGTAAAGAACGAATTTAAAAAAAGACTGGCGGGGGTTTAGTAGAATCGAAGAGGGGATACCCTAGGGGGAGATATAGTAACCAAAAGGGTGTCGAGTCGTTGGCCATTAACAGTCCGTGTTGTAAAGCTTATGGATTTGACAATTAAGGGTTACAAGTATTTTTAAATATTTTATTACAATCGAAGGGGTGATACCCTGGAGATTGATACAGTAACTACAAGGTAGTCTTCTTCAAACGAATTATGCACTGATTGTATCTACACTTGTACATTATCTTACATACATATATATTCATGGACAGATATAGATATTCCTAAAATTGGCATTTCGGTTGTTGGTTTACATCCAGTGTTGTAAAGAGTAAAGTGATTCAACATTCAAGTGTTTTAAATACTTTAACCCTTATTGTGTGTGAATATAATTCCCCTTTTTTCATTTTCCATTCTAAGCTCATTCTTGGAATTAAAATAATTAACTAAAGTGGAGCAAATGAGCCTGGCTATGATGTACTACTGTACTGGACTCTACTGTACTGATGTTCTAGAACAGTGGTGCCTCTCTGCCTGGCCTATGAAGAATTATTCTACCGATTCTACATATTTCGAGCCTTAGACTAAGAAAAGTCTTACAAATGAATGTATTCTTGTGGGCACTACTTATCAAAGAATCAAAATTATACCGAAATGTATAGAAAAAAAAAACATATATATGTTTGTATTTTATTTTAATTAAATATTTATGTACCAAAACAGCGATACTTTCTAACTAAAATCAATTCAAAGTTCAACTGTGGAAACAAATGGAGAATAATACTTATATAATTATTATTCAAATCGATTACACACTGATTGTAGCTACATTTGTAAATAATCTTACATTGATATACCTAAAATTTGAGTAATTTAAATAATAATAATGTATGTTTCTTAATCTTTTTAGCAAGTTGTCTATTACTGTGTTTATGCGATGCCGAAATTCACGTTTTCATTTCACGATTTCATCCGATTCGTGAGGGTATAAACGTGAATTTCGTGAATTCATGCCTAATTAGGTATTTTCATACTTAAAAGTTCAAACAAACCCCTGTCACTGTTTAGGGTTAACAACACACACTGTTAGTCAACACTGTTTCATACCAAATCTTTCTGTTCTCTGTTTATCGGAGTTTACAACACTATAGTTGTTTCGCCCAATGACCTACAATAAGTTTAACAAATAAAATTAGTACATATATTACAAGTATAATAAGTTAGTATTACTAACAAATATACTAACTAACATGAATACTAGTATATAATTATACTAACTATAATACAATTCCAACAAATATACTCAAAAGTTCAAGCCTTGCCATAGTTTTGATCTCAAAACCCCCTGATCTCTGATCTCTAGAAGGGAGGGATCTCCCCATCTGGAACTGGAACTTACCGCACTGCCCTCCATTGAGGGCCTGAGCGTCCTTGGCGGCCTGCTGCTGGTTGCTGCTCTGCAGGATGTCCGACAAGGAGAGCGAGGAGGCGATCAGCTGGCGCTTCTCCTCAAAGTTCAGGAAGTCCATGGAGTTGCTGCGCTGCGGGGTGACCGTGATGGTCACCGACTTCTGCATCTTGGCCACCACGCACAGCTGCTGCTCCAGGTCCGACTGCCCGGCCGACTGGGCGGGATTGGGCGAGTCGGGGGGCGTGGCCGCCTGGGCAGAGGGATGATCGATGCCATCGGTGAGATCGGGCGGAGGCAGTTGCTGCTGCTGCGGCTGCTGCTGGTACTGGTGGTTCAGCTGGAGCTGGTGCTGCTGGCCGTAGTACGAGAAGGCCGACTGGGCGGTGGCGGCGGAGTAGGAGGGCGGGCCCAGGGGCGAGTGGGGCGGGGCGTGGGCCACCCGGGAGGCAGCGGCCGGCGACAACTGGTAGCCGCTGGCGGAGACCGGGGAGCCCTGGCCGCTCTCGTGCCCGTTGATGGCCGCCACCAGAGTGGCCAGGTTGTTGCGGCTGGTGTTGCCGCGGGTGAGCTGCGCCTGGGCCTGGAACTTGTGCTGCTGCTGCAGCTGTTGCAGCAGTTGCTGCTGCTGCTGTTGGTAGGCCATCGGGGGGTGCTGCTGCTGGTGGGCTGCGGGGTTGCTGTTGCTGCTGCTGGTGCTGTTGGTGCTGGCCGTCGACTGCTGGCTCTGCAACTTGTTGCTCCGCAGCGACATGGTTCTGTCTCTGTCCCTCAGTCACTCTCACTCCCTCATTGTCTCACGTGACTCTGGTTGGTGGCAAGCTAATTGGTGGCAAGCACGCTTTCCTGCGCGGTGCGTGGCTTTCCTTCGTTTTTTTTCGCACTTGGCTTTGGTGTCAGTCCTCGAGGGTGTCGCGGCCTAATTGCTGCAATTAAGACACATGTTGTAGAAGGCTGAAGGCCCAGGTGTTGCATGTGGCTGCTGTTCTTGCAACACCCAGCTCGGTAATTCGGGTTACAACCTCTCCCACACAACTCTCGCTTTTCATAATCGCTTTTTTAATGAAAATATTTCATGTTTTCCCCAACCCCCCCTCTTTCCTCAACACAATCGGTGGAAATTAACTGAAAATTGACTCACACTGGCTGCACATGCCACATGCCACAGAAAAACAAACACCCTGCCACCACTTGCCACTTTCATCATCAAAAGCGATGCAGTGGCAGCAGGCGGGGATGGAGGAGGTCCATCTGAGGGGTGGCAGAGTGGCAGGCACTGGTGGAGCTGATGGATATCCATCCAAGGAAATGGAGCATCATCATGTGCTGCACCACTTGAACTGAAACAAAGGAAGAGAAAACGGTTGCAACTCCACTGGAGGACGAGGAGGACTCTGAAGGGTGGCCGGAGGCAGCAAGGAAAAGGGACGGCTGCTCTTGAAGATTGAAGTGTCCATGGGGGATATCGAGGTGGCCAGGAGGAAGGGCCTTGAACTCACAAAGGAGCTACTTAACCAGCCAATTTTCAGGTCTTTAAGATAAGCTAGAAGGGCTAGAGTCTTTAAGATACGGTACCTACAATTTCAGATTGTATCTGATAATAATACTAGGATTAAGTAATATACTAATCTAAGAACACCTACTAACAGTAGTATTAGAAAAGATATCCTGCTGAACTGCCCACCGGATCTTCAAGACTCTCCTCCATTATCCCCATCCCTGCCCTGCCAGAAGGTCAAAGGACTGAGACGAGTTGGCAGTCCGGGTCGGAGAAAATCTTATTAGAACGCACGCTGGGAGTGGGACTGGGGCAGGTAGAGGCCAAAAGAAGAAACAGCCAAGAAGAGGGAGGAGGAGGAGGATAAAGGCCAGAGAAGGGAGACACGCAAAGTGCACAGAACAGGTAAGCCGAATTAGGGGCCGGAGATGACGATGATGACAGGATACACAAAAGGGAATGGAGGATAAATGGAAGAAGGAAAAAAAAACCCAAAACCCTCCACGACAGCTGGACGAAAAAAAGGAGGAGGAAGAGAAGGAGGAGCAAGAAGAAGAGCCGGCAAAGAAAACAAAAGTAGAAGAAGAATTGAAATTCAAGGTGTGCTTCTTCTCTCTTTTCACTTTTTAGAATTTTCTTTAAAAATTGTATCTCAAAGATACAAAAGTATCTGAAAGATACAAAAGTATCTGAAAGATACATAGATGTATTCAGTTTTAATGAGGAGATAATTAGGCTTAGAAGAAGGCCCTTAGGCCCACTTCCCGCTTGGCTAAGACTGGCGAAATCATGGCCAACAGTAACTGGGCTTTTGGGGTCCACTGGCCGCTAGTGGTGTTCCAGTGCACTGGCTCCCAGCTCGTTAGCTTCGATTCTGTTCCAGGCCGGCAGTTGGTTAACGTTTTTTTTCCTAAAAAAACTGAATGTGGAGCATTTTGTGGCACGAATGGAAAGAGACGCAGAGAGAGAGAGAGGCACTCGATTATGGAGATTTACTTAATAATTAAATATTTGAGGTGGCAAGTGAGGTGGCGCCACAAGAGGAGAGAGAGAGAGAGGCAATTAAATTGGCAAATGCGTCGAGTGGCCAGCAGGATGCAACATATTGCTGCACACTGCACGTTGCACATGTGGAACACTCGGGCCGTCCGACTTGCAGCGTCAGCAGGCGCATATTAAATATGAGGAAAGAGCAGCAGCAGCAGTGGCAGTAGCAAGCCCCCTCTGTCTGTGTGGCGGGTTCATTGAACCTCATTTACAGTTCAGTAGTTTAGCGATTTTATTCTCCGAGAAAGAGACGGCAGGCGAGCGAAAGAGACAGGCGCAGAGGGAGGCCCGACTTGGGGCAACTATGGCTGAATAGGAATAATATTTTTTAAAACCTAGTCTCGTCTGTTTGGCTTAGTGAAGCTTCACTGTAGAGCCAAACAATGGGCGGCGAAAAAAAAAAAAAAAGTTGCAAATAAATGTGAGACACAAAATGGAAAGCGTTGGGAACAAAACAGCAACAAAAACTAATGCGATTTGTGGCAGCCACGTCGGAAGAGCAACAATAACCTGCCGCCGAGATTCAGGGATTTGGGTTTGAGAGGCGCCGCCAGCCGGCCAGCCGAAGCAATCAAATCCAATTAAGAGCGAGGCAGCAACACAAAAAAAATACAAAAATTGGGGGAGCAGAACTTGGGGGTTTCGAACCAAAAAAGCAAAAAAAAAAAAACGGTAATATTGGAAGTTATTGTGTTTTTTAATTTTTTAAGAGAGCCCCAGTTCCCAAAGAGCGGCCGGGGGAGGCCTTAAGGGAGGAAAAGCAAACTCTGCCGCAGAACGGAGGCAGCAACAAACCAACAACAATCAACTCTTTCTGACCAGCAGCTGGCTAACAGAGACAGTGGGGCTAAAAGGTTAATATTTAAATAAAAATAAAGAGAGTTTAAAAATTAAAATTAATTATAAGAAAGCATATTTAAAGCCTCTCTTAATTTTCATTTATTAATTTTTCACCACCAAAAACCTCTCTTTGGCCCACTGTGCAGTACAATCCATAAGTACAAGTGTTCGGGGTTGCTGCTAATGGAACACAATTCACAGGGCATCCACTGTTTGCGGCAGTGGCACATGGCGGGGGAGGGGGGAGGAAGGAGGCAGTGCCAGTCGCATTGTGCCAACTGGCCCCCACTCCCCGTCCCTTTGGCTACCCCAGTGCAGCGATGCTACAAAGGCGAAACAGCAGCAGACAGCAAAAACCAATGGACACAGACGGCAGAAGCTACAACAACAACAACAACGTGGTGGAGGAATTGGAGTCGTCATCCTTTTTTTTTTTTTTTTTGCTGTTGCGGCAAATACTTTGACTCCCCAGGGAGAGGGAGGGAGGGAGAGAGGAGAGGGTGGCGCAGCTAGTGCGTGTCCCGGAATCCTCCTTCGCATAAATTTAAATTTGCGCGCCACTGGAACAGGAATGTTCTTGCAGAAGTCCCTCTTAGGGAAGTAGTCCTGTACTCCCCCCTCACAACCTCTACGAAAGGCAATAAAAGGGAGCCGGAGAATGCGTTTTTTGGGGGTTGCTGATGCTGGTGGAAGTCTGGAGCACAACAGAAAGTAGTTAAGAAGAAGCATGGGCCGGGGCCTGGGGACGGAGAGGGTGTGAAAGTCTCTCAGTATACACACACTACCAGACTCTACTACTCGGACAGGAGGGGGAGGGGAGAGCAAAGAATCCGTCTAGACAACATTGTAAGTAGATGAAAATATTTGCCGAGTTGCAGGGAAGTTCGGGAAGAGCACCACCCACCACCCACCGCCCCCCCCCCTGGGTTTTGCAACTATATATTATCGACTCGGCCACGCAATACCTGGCCGATAAGGAAGCAGTTGGGGCAGTTGGCTATGTAATTGTGTTACTTTTCAATCATTATAGCCGTGCCGCGGATAAGATAAGGCCCGATTGCGTTATATTTTCAAGCTTCGTGTCGAAATTCAATTTACGGACAAGCGTGCAAACCTATTATTGTTTATTCCTGTTTCCCATTTTAAGACAAAAAAAACACTAAAATTACTGTAAAGTATTTTCATATGTTTGCTCAACTGGGGGGGAGAGAGAGAGTGCCTAAGAGAGAGCTCCACCATACGGGGCTAACTGTTTATTTGCAAGGTTTATTGTTATTTCGGTTTATGCCTCTTCTCTGCATTTTTGTTATTGATTTCACTTTTATCCGATAGGTTCCCGATGCCGATGGTTTTCCCTGCACGATCGCACCTGCCCTCCACTAATTCATTCATACCGTGCCGTGTTATTTTCTCTACCATATATTTTTTTTTTTTTTTAGCTGCGCATTTGTTTAACAAATTGTGTGTTTGGGGCGATATCCGGAGGAATTTTAGTTTCTGTATAAAAATGCGGCAGGCAGCGCAGTCAGCAGCGAGAATTTATTGTTATTGTTGTTGTTGTTGTGGTTGTGAGGAGAAGTTGTAAAACCGGATTTTCCTTTTGGGCGCTTTCGTGGTTTATATTGTTGCCTTTTGCACTTTGTCTCGATATCGGTCTCAGTCTCGGAGTCGACTCGGCTCGGCCCCGACTCGAATCCAATTCCAATTCCAATTATTGATGAAAATTTTTTAAAAAACTATCTTTGTGGCAGCGCTGCAACGGCGCTGCTTGGCAGCTGCACTGCCTCTTCTTCTTCACGGCGGCAGAATTTTACTTTGCGCCTTGGCTTTTGGCGTTTGCCTTTTGGCTTTTCTGTATTTGCACTTACACTTGTTGAGATAGAAAGGCGTATATATTATATTATGTGAAAATCTAGCCAGCGATCACTACTAATTTATTAATTTTCGAGCCAATTCACATACACTCACTAACGTCACACACACACACACGCAGCGAGACGTCGGGCGTCGCGTCGAAAAAACAACAAAAATAGAAACGAAAGGTGAAAATAGCGGCGAAGAAAACGCGGGCCGAAAAAATTTTATTATATTCCGAAATTGTTTATTTATCACTATTGTTTACTTTTTTTTCGGTTATTTTGACTTTGCACAGCCGCGCTCCGACCGACGCGTCGGGGTTCGAATTTTTTTTGACCAGTGTTTACTTTCAGGCAGGGCACGAGTCGCCCTGTTTGGGCTAGGTTGGCAGCCCTGGTCAGCTGTTTTCGGCCAGAACTGCCATCTTTAGTTGGCCTTTTTTAAGCCAGTTTAGGACAAAAAATGGTAATAATTTTAAGCTAGGCTATCTTGGGTTGTACAATATAAATACATCTACTTTTCTTCTTTACTAATTTATTTATATATAGACAAATATGTTTTATAAAGAGTATAATACCACAAAGTCATGGGTATTGCTTTTAGCAAAACAAATTCTTTTGTTTTTGTCGAAAAATATATATGCTATAAACCAAAATATATCAAACAAGAAACTTGGCCATAATTGGTAGTTACCCTGTTCTTGCCTGAGTCACCCTGTGTGAGTCAGCTGTTTTCGAATTCGAAATTACGAATTCAAATATTATTTTGGCGCCCTTTCTTTGAATTTAAAATTTAAATAAAAGCCATCTAAAACATGTAAGAAACATTATTTTCTATGCTTTTAGGCTTATTATAATTAATTATACTTGTATAAGGCTTAAGTCCATAAATCTAAATCAGTTATTGAGGTTTAAAACATAATTTTAAATTTAAAATAAGCCCATACTTGGGGGAATGTTTATGATCCATTTCAGAAAACATGTTAATTATAGTTCCTATTAATGAGTAAAATTTGTCCATGGATTTGGCAATCACACACATCCGAATCAATTAGTGCCACCCACAAAAGGACCACCCACTCTAATTGGCAATTAGCAACAAAAACAACAACGAGGCGAGCCTGGAAAATGTCGGAAAACTATTGAAAATCCATTTGCATTTTACACTAACTAGACAGCGAATTAGAACGGAGGAGGGGGAGGAAAATCTGAATCTGGAAATGTATCTAAATAGTAATCCCCCAAAACTGCGGGGCCTTAGGACCAATGAAGCAATCTCCGCGAAAGAAAAACAAGAAGCGCTCTTCAAAAGCAATTTCAGATTGTTTTTCCAAAGACAACAACAACAATGGGGGAGGAAAAGGAAAATCTCTTTTTTTGTTCGGTCATATATAACTTTGTCGGTGAAGAATTTTCCCCAGATTGCTCTTCAAGAATTCTGCCGAGTGGTGGCGTCTCCTATTTTTAGGCCCCACTATGTTGTATCCACTGGCGGCCCAAAAAGAGAACTCATTTATTTTTGTTTTCATTGGGAACTGAAAACAGACTTATTTACCCACCGACTCCCCACCACCCCCCCATGTACGGAATGTGGTATATATAACAGGAAACGGAAGCATCATTTGCTCTAGTTGGAATTTTCCGCGGAGGCACGGGGGAAAGGCTGATATGCCGGCAATTGGAAAAGCGCATGTTTCTGGGGAGGAAAGAGAAAGAGTTCCAAGTGAAGAGAAGTCTCAGGTAGAGAACAAAACAAAAACAGTTTGGGAAGGACTGAGAGAGAAATTTATAGCATGCGAGAAATTTGACTAGCAGTGGCTGTAAAACTGTTTACTACAAGAGGAAGCCTTTCCTTAAGGAGGAAAATATCTTATTTTTTAATAGAATTGTTTACTGATTTTATTCATGTTTTTGAAGCCAATAGCAATAGTTTCTTGTAAAATAGTTTTATTCCAAAGCTTCCATTCCAAAACCCCTTTATATTCCGAGTAAACAATTCGTCTTCAATGTCAGTTCAGCCCCCTCCAAGTAGCTATCCTTTAACCATCCCCAGCTCCTTTTTATCCTTCAACCAAATTAACTTGAGAAGCTTGATAAAAGGGCTGCCATTCATTCATTCAGCATCTTCTTTTTCCCGAAAACTCAAGCTCTCAATGCCAAAGAGCTGCCAACTTAATTTATATTGTATTTAAAATGCAAAATGCACAACATCCAACAATAGAAGAAAAGCCCGGAAAAGCGCAGAGGGGGAGGGGGAGAGAAATGAAAATGTACGGGTGGAAGTGGAAGAATGAAGGCTTTAATTTTACATTTTGACAAATTGAATGTTTTCTGAAGGATAAGAGAGGAGTGGCCGGAAAGGAGCTGCCAGAAAAGGGTTGCCAGAAAGTTCGAATATTCAGTCTATGTGTATGATGAGGTTATGATATGAAAGATCTAAGATATGTGGGTTTTGAGAACTTAATTCTTAATAAAACTTTAGTTAAGAGATAACAGATATATTTGGATATATTGGATATATATATTATTTATAAAGTAAGTAAGTTTTAAGATCTATATCCCTTAGAGACATGAGAACTATAGACCCAAAGACATCCTTTAAATACCTTCCCGAATGTAGAGCATCTCAAACAACGCCAATGAAAGGACTTTATCCAGACCAGGAATGGAATGCGGAATGTCCTTGGCATTCCATTGAATGGAATCTCTGGCCATCATAACGGTAATTGACAATCTGGCCAAAGCAAATTAACATGGCCAGAGGTCAAATAACATTGCTTGGGGAATTTGTGATTGCTTCCGTTTGGTTTTTTATTCGCTTGCCCCATTGCCAGATGCCCAGTACCGCCCCCACCCTCCCCAACCCAAAACTGAGGTAAACAAACCTTTATTAGGAATGCAACACACGCATCACAAAGCGGCCATAAAGACGTTTGGGCCAAAAGCAGCTACCAAAATTAAAAGCGTCCAAACAGAAGCCAAAGCTACGAAACAAAGCTGAGCAGACGTGCCACGGTGGGAGTGACCTTTAGGCATGTGGAGGCCTCCCTCCAGCCCCCTTCCAACCACCCAGCCGGCTAGTAGAGTCCACTAAACTTTGGCTATAAAAGTGGCCGGCAGTTGGACTTCCAAATCATATCAGTTTCTGTTCAATCAGCAGCTCGACACTCCACCAATCCCTCCAAGATGTTCTCCAAGTTTGTGAGTATTCCATTCCATCGGAGAAGGATAATTAAAAGGACTACCCGAAATTAAAGCCTTAAAGACACATCTTACATCCCAACCCTCTAATTACTTTTGGCCTAAATCCTAACCCTTTGTTTCCACATGGCTATAATTAGCATTACCAAAAATACAACCCTCTTCTCGCCGCCAGCTCGCCCTCTGCCTGTTCGCTCTGGTGGCCGTGGCCTGCGCCAAGCCGCAGTTCCTGACCGCCTACAGCGCCGCCGCCCCCGTCGTGGCCGCCTCCCCCTACGCCGCCTACACCGGCGGCCTCTACGCCTCCCCCTACTCGGCCGCCTACACCAGCGGCGTCTACGCCTCCCCCTACGCCTACAGCGCCGCCTACCCCTACAGCTCCCTCTACCTGCGGCGCTAATTCCGCCCACGGATCCGTAGGGCGAGGGCCCACTGTACCCGTACCCCAATTCCTGATGACGACAACGACCTAATGAACAAATAAACCCGATGGAACGGATAAGGATTCTGAGAGTGAAGCCCAAAACTATTTGCAGTCATTTGCTTTGAGGATCTGCCGATGAAGGGGCAGGGGGGACGTACACTGAACAAAATCCGTCCATCCCAGAGCAACATGAAATACACGTTTCTTTGTTCCAACATTTTACTCTCAAAATACACGATATTCCATTTTGAATTGTTATATTTTTTGATTCCTAATTAGACACCTTGTTAAAGCTATATCTCGGCTAATATAGAGTCTCAGATACACAAGACTCTTACCTTAATCGATTTCTAGATCAATATCTTATTCATTTGCATTAAAACTTTAAAAAACAAAATGTGGAATAATTTTTAAACAATTTTCTGGGGATTCCCTCCTAAAATGGTGAAGAATGCAATATGGCCCACAGCGAAGGCTATATCTCTGCCGATATAAGTCCGATTCTTAAGTGGAATACCTAAAACGATTTCTATATCGATTCTGCGTCATTCTGGATCAAAATCTGGAAGCCAACAAATTTAAAGATTTTTTGCCAAATTTTCTGGGGATCCCCTTGAAAATGGTAAAGATTGCATGGGAGCGACAATGTGGCCCACATCGAAGGCTATATCTCTGACGATTTTAGTCCGATCCTTAAGCGGAATACCTTAAATGATTTCTACATCGACTCTGCGTCATTCTGCATCAAAATCTAGAAGCCCATAAATTTTTAGATTTTTTGTCAAATTTTTTGGGAATCCCCTTCGAAAATGGTAAAGATTGCATGGGAGCGACAATATGGCCCACAGCGAAGACTATATCTCTGGCGATATTAGTCAGATCTATACGCGGAATATTTTAAACGATTTCTAGATGGATTCTGTGTAAATCTGCATTAACATATGGAGGCAAATAGTTCTTAATATTTATTTAAAATGTTTCTAGTGAATGCTCTTTGAAAAACTGCCAAAATCATGAGAAATAAAAACAAGCCCCTTTATGAAGCCCCTTTACATCCGATCTTCCAGGAATACCTACAAGGACAATGAGCTTTCACCACTTTCAGTATTTCCCTATAAGCTTCCCATCTTTAGGTCTATTTTCGGCTCAGTGTAGTGGGTGTGCGTGCAAGTGAAAGAGACTCATTTTAAAATATTTACGAATTTGTTGGTGTCGTTGCCGGTTTTGCTTTGCAATTTCCGTTGGCCATCAAAAGCATTCGCTTTGGCTCGTATATCATGTTGCATGTGAAAGGGGGGTGGTGGTAATTGTGGGAGGTGGGGAGTGGGAGTCGGTAAAATAAAGGCGAGGTCGGGTGAGGGGTCATCTGTCGCTGGCATGCATTTGCATCACTGCTAAAATGTGCAAATTATGGCAACTAAGTTGCCCCATGCTGTCCGAGGCACGCAACGGGTTAAGTGGAGATTCGGGCACTTTTAAAAAAACAGAAATCTCTCAAAATTGGGTGGATTAGATTAGCAGAAAGTGGGCTTATTATAAAGCTAATCTTTCAGAAGAAAAAACCTGTTTTTTTTAGAAGAAAATCCTCGAAGAAGGTTGGAAATATTTTCAAGTGCATGGCCGCGCCAGGACTTTCTTCGAGGCTCCACTCCCCATGACTCTACCCATGAAAGCCCTCCTCCCAGGACCTTCTTCGAGGCTCTAGTCCCCTCCCCGGAGAAACTACACCCATGAAAGCCCTCCTCCCACTTGGGCTCCCCCTTTCACTTTTTAGACGTCAGCTTTTTGCATAATGCACGAGTGTGTGTGGCCTGGAAGGGTGTGCGTGGGGGATGCGTCCTTTCAGGCCACAAAAAAGAGCATCAGAATGCACATGGAAATTGTCCCGAAATGAAAAATATGTGCAACATCCTGAATAAATGCATTTAGATAAGGAATGCGCTTAAATGTTGAATAATGTGGAGGCTAATGCTATTTTCTGCTCGATTGGCGAAGAAAATATGGAAAAATATGCCCATGATTAGGGTTACTGATGGGCAAAGGACCAAGTCTAGAAGAGTTATAGAGGTTATATCCTCCCAGGCCCCATTAGCCTCTCAAATTACCTCTTCCCGGAGCTTCAATATTTATGCTCGCCAGGTGGGAAAAAAGAAAGGCAATCAACTTTTCACTTAACTTGCCATTAATTTCCCATTGTTTTCTTAGGACTTTGTCGCCGCAAGGACAAACAGAAACTGTTTTCCCAGGCACGGGCCTGGACTGTTTGGAAAAATCCGTCATCGGCAGGAGGTCTCCTCAGGAAGTTGGCTTTCCTCCCAACTTTAAGACGTTTGTGGGGAGAACAGAAATGGAAATTTTTTTGGAAAAATCTAAATGTAATTTGCATCGTGGGTGCGCCACAGGAGGCGGCGACTTACAAAGGAAGAAGCCCACGTGTCGGGCTTGGGATACGCCTGGGAATGTCAAAAGTCGTTGCATACTTTTGTGGCGCCACCTCCCACGCATACATACGTACGTATATCCTTCAAATCACAAGTCCTTGTTATCAGCCAGCGCCCCGCGAATGTGGGTGAGTAGTCCATCAATGTCAAACTTACCTGCAAGGACACAAAAAAGAAAGAGAGTGCGGTGGTGAGATAAAAGGGAATTTCTTTTTTTTGGGACCTGCAGGAGCGATAATTCAGGTTAAATAAAGTCAAGTGTTTGTATGGCTCTTACAGGTGAATAAAGGACATAATAGAGGAGTTCTAGCTATGAGGAATGTGAATTATAGATACACTACATACTACTCTATAAACTAGACAGCAAGGTGGTTGTCTGTGGGTCTCTATAGCTATAGTCTCCCTAAAAACATTATTTTAAATAAAACCAAGTTCCCTTTAAATTCTATATTATCCCTATTATAGAGTATTATCTGACATTGCCACTCCATTGGCCTTTTAGCAGCCCACATGATGTTTGTTCTTGAAGTGCTCAGGCCAAGTGAATGGCCCGTCAAATTAAATGAAAATTAATGTCAATGTTTGTCTGCCGATATTCAGATAATTAGACCGAGAAGATTGACATTTAAGCTTGGCTAGAAATCCAAATATTGGCTGAACTGATAGATTTTAATGGATCTTTAACTCCCATCGCCCACAGGCCCGTTTAATTTCGCCGAAAATTCTTGCTGGTCATAATTTATGATTAAATTATCGCGCTTATCAATTCTCGCCCCTGATTAATGATGGCCAGCGGCGCGGCGCCAGCAGACGCGCAATTAATTGCCGGACTATTACCAGGACGAGCCGAAGGACCCAACAAAGCACTCAACAAGTGATTACACTTCCCCGCCTGGCCCCTGGTTTCCCACTTTCTGGCCAGAAATGAAACATATTTAACCTCCCAGGGATGCTTTTGGGCTTCTCTCTTTGGCAGGACCTTCGGGAAAGTGGCAGGATAGCCTACGTATTAAAAATTCATTGCTCGAGTGTGCCAACCTCCGTTAAAAATGCAGAACAACAATTTCCGTTTCCGGGCGCCGGGTCGGGTCGGCTTCAATCTCAATTGCTGCTGCTTGCGCTTGCGGAACATCCTTGAAGTCCTCCAGAGCCGAAGGATGCTCCTGGAAACACCCAAAACAAAAAGGGATAATGCCGGCCTATTAGCCCGACACAAATCAAAGTCCCGATGAGCTGCAGGAACGAGTGCGAATCGTTTGGCATTGATGGCGTTGACAGGACATCTCAATTCTCACTTCACTGGCTCTCCCCTCACAGATCCTTGTTGCCCAAAAGTATATCCTTGTTCCACCCCGATTACACACACACTCTCCACTCTCCACCGATAAGGGCAAGTCTGGCGTTAAATTGAACGCCGCTCTAAGGGCTTCGCTGCTTTTTACTTTCGACTGCGTCCAACGTGGCGTATAATCGATTTTCATTCAATTTATCTCCGCACACACATATGATTTTTCTCATTTTAGTTTCAATCGCTTTCTGCTGGCAGCGTTCCTCCGTCAGCCGTCATTGGTAAAGCTTCGCGTTCAACTAAAACCAAAATCAATTGCCAACGTGGCGAGAAAATAAACCAAAAACTGTCACAATGGCCAATATCGTCAGACTGCAGTGCCACTGGAAGAAAATATTCATTTTAAAAGGGAATATTTTATAAAAATATCTATATTATGGAGGGTTTCAAGTACCCAAATATGAAGTCTCAGCTTTTTAAGTCCATAGTTATTTTCTTAACTTTTAAACTTATATCTTTAATGTTTTATATTTTCTCCAAGTGCTTGGATTTTTTCTATTCATTTAGACTCTAAAGACTGCGCTTAGAAGGTCGTTGAGAGAAACGAAACACCAAAACATAAAACCCACATAAATCAATAGTTGTTTGCGAAAAAAGTGAACCACAAACCCACCACAAGATTGAAAGAAAAATGCCAACAAATAGTAGAACAAGTCTACGGAAAAACAAACTGAAATTAGGCCAATTTCCATTCAAGACTTTATAGTAAAAGCTTCTTAAAAGCGGGCTTTTATACATACAATTCTCATATTAAATATATTTAATTTGCCACTTGTCAACAAGCTATCTAATAGTGATATTAATCAAATCCGGTATACCTTCTGGGGGGCGAAATCATTTATCCCTCGTCACAAAGTTTCCCCCCAAAAATGAAAATGAAATGTCTTTAAATTTCCACGAAACTTTTCGGCCAACTTTCTTATTTTCCACCAACTTGTCATTGGCCGGATCCGTGTCCGAAAGACATGACCTAAAAGTTTGCATAAAGAATTCTCTTTTCGCTGACCTGCCCCACCAACCTGCCACCTGCCACCCACTGCAGCAGTGCTGTAATTACATGAGAAGCTTTCCACATGGACAACGTGGCGTATAAGCAACCCGCCTTTATTGTCATTTGCCGCGCCACTCAATAAGCAGAGCGTGATGAGGGGGGGCGGTGGCCAGGGGGGGGAGGGGGAAATTAAGTGGGGTTCGGTTTGCAGAGCTTTGAATGCAATTATGTGCAGCA